AACACATATATTGATCAGCTCAAAGCCCTTGTAAAGGCGTTGACAGCTTCTGTTTGCCTTTTTCAACAATTGATTTCTTGTTTGAACCATGCTTTACTCAGTGGAAGCATTTAATTGCAATACGTTGGTTGTGTTTTCGATGATTCATGGTTTCGCACCACATAATCCAGTAATGTAATGTTAATGTGTTACGTCATCCTTGTGGCCTAGGTTACCTGTTCAGACATGGCATCTCCCATTATACAGCCCCATCGCCCAGGTTACCAGAAGTCCCTGCAGAGTGTCTACTGCAGCACCAAACAACTAGCGGTACTTCCTTACTTTCTGACCCATCTACTTACGCACTTACGCACTTACGCACTTACGCACTCACACACTCCCGCAATCACTCCCTCAGAGAACAGTTTGAGGACATTTATAAAAGGGCGCTATTGCACAACAAAACAACTTATACCGGGAGGAAGTATGAATTTCGCACAACTTGATTGGCCTACCAGCTTTCAGGGGATGACGGTGTGAGTGAGTGAGTCTAGTTTTACGCCGCACTCAGGAATAATCCAGCTTTATGGATGAGCATCGATCTATGTATGCAATTAGGATACGATGACATGTGTCAACCAAGTCAGTTAGGCTGACCACCCGATCCCGTTAGTCGCCTCTTACGAAGAGCATGGGGCTTATCATGATTTAAGTTGTTGAAAGGGAAAAAATCATAAGAAATCACTGTGTGCAAATACTGTAAATTGAATGTCCTGGAAGATGAATACCATGTTCGTCTGCAAGTAATCGGCAGATGGCGTTGTTGTGTTGAGCTTCTGTCAGTCATGGCATGTTTTCACGTTTTACTCGCTGTACAATTGTAATGACGGACAAATATGGCGGGCATCGTCTCCATAGCCCAACAAAGCATGTTTTACGTTCATTTTTTGTTGGTGTGTTCGGCCGTCATGCTCCACCCTGGATGTGTTTCAGCGCTTTCAATACCTTTTCGGTATTTTAAATGCCGCACATAATTTGCAGAGTATAGTATTAATCTATAATTTCTTTGGTCACGATATTGCTACAATACTGCCGACTTTACTGTAAATGTTCACCAACAACTATAATCAAAATAGAACCATAAAGTAACAATTGCTACATGTGGAATTACACTTTCTTAGTAAAGTATAGATTCTAGTACTTTTTCGGGTTGAGTCCCATCCGGGATTCGAACCCACACCCGCTCATCCATCGCAGCTTCCACAAGTAGGCGGCGGCGACTTTGTGTGCTGGCGATTAGGTGCCTGACTCTGAGGGTGTGTGTTCGAATTCCAGATGGGACTCAACCCAACAAAAGTATGGGCTGAGTCTGTACTTTAGAGAGAAAGTGGATTCACAAATGTAACATATGTTACATTTAACCACTTTCTAAATGGCACTGTGTAATCATACCGCCATAAAGGTCCAACGGATACTATTTTATCTGCACATGTAGAAACTGTTCTCATCTATAAGCATGTCATGATATCGCCTTGTGCGAAGAGCATGTGTTTATATCTATCTATTGATTCCACCGCCACGAAAACAATTCGCTCAGGAGTATATGTTACTTTCCCGAAAGATCGATACACTTCCAGCTATAAATAGTTTATACCTGTTATGTCTCATGGACAAATTCATGTGCCAGTAACTAAACCTGTCGCCTTTAAGAGAAAAAAGACAAAAAGCAACAACAACAGCAAAATAAATATAAAAACAACAGGAAATAAACACAGCTCAACGTACCAAGAGACGTAAACAAAAATAGCATGAAATATTTAGTTCATTTACAGCCAATAAACGAACAGTCGTGTCACTGTATTATATTTGTGCCGGATCCCTTTATAAACTGATGTGCAAAAGAAAGTACACAGGTTGTGTTTCTTCCAATAAGATAAATATAACAAAACCTTTTGATGAAATGGTAAATGTATGTTGAAGCACACTGCAATACACGTGTTTTATCAGCAAAATGACATTGTAACAATAAACACCGATGTAGTGATGACCACTGCAGACGGTTCCTACGATGCTGGAAGATCAAGGCCATTCCACGCAGCGGTCGGTAGGCCCATACATGCCAGCAGGACGAAATCGTCTTGTCACTGTGAATCGGCTTACGCGATGCCCCAATGATTTGGCTGCTGATGACGTCACCGTCAACATTCAGTTGCGTAGGTGAATAACCCGCAGACAGCGATCCTCTTGGGGTGTTGTGACTCTGGAACGTCCACTTCTGGGTCGATCACATGTCTGGCCTGTCGTACTGAAACGGTTAAACAGCCGAATTATGGTTTGTCTTGTGCAACCCAATGTCCTTGCAATATCGCTGTTGAAAGCACCCATTTGTGTCATTCCTTTGGCCCGTTCTCGTTGCGCCGACGTCAATCTTGGCGATTCCTCGTGAGATTTCTGTCAAGTGATTGTTCAGTCTTCACGTCAAACAGGTTTTATACTCTCTGTCAGAAAAGTGCTGGTGCATGGGACAATAATCACAATTTTGCAAAAATTCGTGCAAAACACGTACAAATGATTTGGTTGCATTTTGGCAAATGAAACATGATGGTTGCGTCCTATACAATCATGTTTTTCAATAACTTTATTAGTGAGAACGCATATTTGGGATTGAAACAACAATTACACCTGTGTACTTTCTTTTGCTCGTCAGTTTAGTTTAGTTTGTTATCAGACCGCCGTGGCATGGCAAGAATATCCCTGTGTGACGTCAGACAACGAACAAACACTGGTGTGTGTGTCGAATGCAAACAGGACATACTGACCCTTTTACATAGAAAAAAACCCTGAAAACAAATATCGTTGATCAATTCGCATTAGCAATTATCTCTTCAAGGTTCAGATGACGCTGTGGCAATCTTTTCAATCATTCCCTGTAGTTGTGTACATTTCAATGTATTATTTTTCTAAAGTCCCACAATTAATTCAATCTTGGGGTACTAGTTTTATATAAAATATTCAAAGCATAGTGTCACGGATACAAGGAACAAACCGAACATACTTGATATCACGATTCGATACATATGGAAATGAGATCATCAGGTAGGATGTAGATCAGGTGTACAGAGTAAACATCTGCTTGGTTAATATTGACCATCGTTCCATTCCACACCCAAATGGGCTTTCCGAAGACAAACATGGCTGTAAATCTTTTTTTACAATATTGCAAATTGCGGTTTATGCAAATATGTCTGAATATGCTATTTCTTAGACTACATGATCTAAATACCCCTCCTTTCTTTTCATATCGAAGCGTAGATCAGCAATAGGAGAGGAGTTACATGATCTCATTGTCTGCCACATCTATTACTGCTATACATAGACCAGGACTAACACAGTAACAAGACGCCCAACTAACGTTGCAGGAAATGCCTCGTTCCAAATCAATGAGCAGTAAATCATAGTACTTCCGACACAATTATTTGAGTGCATTATATAATTGATTTCTCTTGTACATTCGCTAACCATAGACTTGCCATACAACCGTTGTCATCTTCATGTATAAGAGGACATGCTCTAATCTCTTCCTGTCAATCCTTCATTGTTATTTTGCTCATTTTTAGTCAGTCTTTTGTTGATTTTTTTTCATCCCTAATTGGTTCATTTCTCTATGGAAAAGCAGTTTTTCATTCTAGTGTCTTTCATTTGAAATTTCCTGTTTTGTTCAAATTTGTTTCAAATGATCAATTTTTTAACGAATTTTTGCCAAATTCTCTGTGACATGTTTTACTACTTCCCACTTTTTCTCGTAATAACGTCCCTTTAATATATTTCTGTATTACGTTCAATACGTTCCACAAATACTGATGAATGCCGCCCTAACAACTGTTCGGCTGTCATGTGTATATTATATGGTTTCGTGTCCTATCGTGTCAAAGAAATGTAGCCCCAAATGCAAATAGTGTAGTAATTGCTTTCTATATTTTGAATTGTTGATTTTTTGGTGACATATACAATCAATTTGTTGCTCTTTTTTCAGAAACATTTTCTGAAAAACCAGACCGTAATATGTGGTGTTGCAACATACGGATGTTTCTGAACACCGGACCGCACTATATGGTGTTGCAACATACGGATGTTTCTGAACACCAGACCGTACTATATGGTGTTGCAACATACTGATGTTTCTGAACACCAGACCGTAATATGTGGTGTTCCAACATACTGATGTTTCTGAACACCAGACCGCACTATATGGTGTTGCAACATACGGGTGTTTCTGAACACCAGACCGAACTATATGGTGTTGCAACATACGGATGTTTCTTAACACCAGACCGTACTATATGGTGTTGCATAATATGGATGTTTCTGAACACCAGACGGAACTATATGGTGTTGCAACATATGGATGTTTCTGAACACCAGACCGAACTATATGGTGTTGCATAATATGGATGTTTCTGAACACCAGACCGAACTATATGGTGTTGCAACATACGGATGTTTATGAACACCAGACCGCACTATATGGTGTTGCAACATATGGATGTTTCTGAACACCAGACCGCACTATATGGTGTTGCAACATACGGATGTTTCTGAACACCAGACCGCACTATATGGTGTTGCAACATACGGATGTTTATGAACACCAGACCGCACTATATGGTGTTGCAACATATGGATGTTTCTGAACACCAGACCGCACTATATGGTGTTCCAACATACGGATGTTTGTGAACACCAGACCGCACTATATGGTGTTGCAACATACGGATGTTTATGAACACCTGACCGCACTATATGGTGTTGGTACAGACAGGGAAGGAAATGGTGAAGCACGCACTTCCAGTGTAGCTGCGTTCTGTTAATATAGACAGTGTTCTAGAACGTCAGAAGCTTTTTCACGGGTTTGCGGCCATGGATTGTGCAGATGTTCGAGTGTATCCTCTTTCTCGCATAAGTGGTTACATGTTTCGTCACATTGTAGCATGCTGGTAAAAAACCTGACGCAAAATGCGCGCTTACGAACAAAACAATTTATAGTCTTCATTCTTAATTTACAAAACAGTGAAAAGCAAATGTGTATTAATCCATTACATGGAAGAGTGAAGCCACAAATATGTGCATCCTTTTCATTCAGTCAACCAGAACTTTCCTGCCATAACTATCTCCAGTCACACACATCACTGGTCCGGGGGAGGTTATGAGTATGAACCTGCAGCTTCCGTATCAGCCGAGTTCATCAAGCGCAAAGGATGGAACGGAGAAACTGGTTTTGAACGATTGAAGAATGATGTTGTCTTAAAAAACGAAATTTCTTGAAGTATATTTTGAGCCTATTTTACAGTATGTGTTGTAACTCTTTGAAAGGCTGCCACTGTCAGATGTCCTCTGACGAAGTCATCCTTATGTTTTGGGAAATGTTAATACAGAGTGGTTGCATTGTGTTAAAGAATCGCAATGCGTGTACTAAGGCAGCATCTGAGCATCTAACTGCATGTTGGTGATGGGGGGAAATTACAAAACTTGGACTTATCGTCCCACAGCGTTCCTGGCGGGCAGATGTTTGGAAAGGCACCGTTCACTGAGCACACTACATAGTGATCACATCCTCCCCCACAGGAGTGGAAGCTTCCTTGTAGACCAGCACAGTCCGACACACAGGAATCTGAAACAAAATATTATCTGTATGTAGATTCTCAATAAACACAGTTTATTCAACAGGGATATTAAGTTATGTGTACCTGTAAATGATGAGGTTTATACGGTATAGTTATGTCTCATATTGTAGCGACAAATGACATGCTGATACATACCGGTGTTGAATGTACAGTGGAAATCATGCGCGGATCTCATGTTCATCTGAGTTGTTACTACAATAATATTCATTACGCAGTAAAGGTTATGCTTTTAAAACCACGCAATCAGACGTAGCCATGTTCAGTTATGTCTGTACATGTGTCAAAATAATTACAACAGATAATTTTCGAAAGATGTACTTACCTGCTCCTGACGTCGCCATCGCAGTACTCGCAGTGGTAGGTGCTGCAGTAGTTGCTATAGTCGTAGTCAGTACACTAGTCGTAACTGTGGTAGGTACTGCAGTAGTTGTTAGAGTGGTAGGTGCCGCAGCCGTTGTTGTAGTGGTGGGTGTTGCAGTAGTTGTAAGAGTGGTAGGTGCCGCAGCCGTTGTTGTAGTGGTGGGTGTTGCAGTAGTTGTAAGAGTGGTAGGTGCTAAGGGCGTTGTTACAGTGGTAGGTGTTGCAGTAGTTGTTACTGTGGTAGGTGTTGCAGTAGTTGTTACAGTGGTAGGTGCTAAGGGCGTTGTTACAGTAGTAGGTGTTGCAGCCGTTGTTGCAGTGTTAGGTGTTGCAATAGGTGTTACAGTGGTAGGTGCCAAGGGCGTTGCTACAGTAGTAGGTGTTGCAGCCGTTATTGCGGTGGTAGGTGTTGCAGTAGTTGTTACAGTGGTAGATGTTGCAGTAGTCGTCACAGTGGTAGGTGTTGCAGTAGTTGTTGCAGTGGTAGGTGTTGCAGTAGTTGTTACAGTGGTAGGTGCTAAGGGCGTTGTTACAGTAGTTAGTGTTGCAGTCGTTGTTACAGTGGTAGGTGCTGCAGTAGTTGTTACAGTGGTAGGTGCTGCAGTTGTTGTTACAGTAGTCGGTGCTGCAGTAGTTGTAGTCGTTGTTACAGTAGTAGGTGCTGCAGTAGTTGTTACAGTAGTCGGTGCTGCAGTAGTTGTTACAGTAGTCGGTGCTGCAGTAGTTGTTACAGTCGTGAGTGCTGCAGTCGTTGTTACAGTAGTCGGTGCTGCAGTAGTTGTTACAGTGGTAGGTGCTCCAGTAGTTGTTACAGTGGTAAGTGTTGCAGTGTTGTAGTAGGTGCTGCAGTAGTTGTTACAGTGGTAGGTGCTTCAGTCGTTGTTACAGTAGTAGGTGCTGCAGTAGTGGTTACGGTGGTAGGTGCTGCAGTAGTTGTTACAGTGGTAGGTGCTTCGGTAGTTGTTACAGTAGTAGGTGCTGCAGTAGTTGTTACAGTAGTAGGTGTTGCAGCCGTTGTTACAGTAGTCGGTGCTGCAGTAGTTGTTACAGTAGTAGGTGCTGCAGTCGTTGTTACAGTATTCGGTGCTGCAGTCGTTGTTACAGTATTCGGTGCTGCAGTCGTTGTTACAGTAGTCGGTGCTGCAGTAGTTGTTACAGTAGTCGGTGCTGCAGTAGTTGTTACAGTAGTCGGTGCTGCAGTAGTTGTTACAGTAGTCGGTGCTGCAGTTGTTGTTACAGTAGTCGGTGCTGCAGTAGTTTTAGTCGTTGTTACAGTGGTAGGTGCTGCAGTAGTTGTTACAGTAGTAGGTGCTGCAGTAGTTGTTACAGTAGTCGTTGATAAAGAGGTTACTTACACATTTGGTTTATGTTCTATACGTGTGATTGTGTTGTTAGTGTGTTAGATGTCATTTGTTTATGTTTCAGTGTGTAAATATAAAAGTAGCAATAGTTGTGTGGGTGATTCTGGCACGGCTGGACTTTTTAGTTTGGTTAGCCTCATTAGCTCAAGCTCTAGGCTTGGACTTCTCCCATGGACTTTACGGAAAATACAAAGGCTTCCGAACAGTACATTACATTGGGTGTCACGAGGGTTGTATTCCTGGCAAAAAACCTCGGTACGGTTTAAGTTTCAGTTAAGAGTGAGTGAGTTAAATTTAACGTCACCTCGGCAATATTTCAGCCATAAAGTGACGAGAAGAGTTCTATTAAAGTTCATTTCTATCACAAAGGAAAACAAAATATTAGCAAAATAGCACAATTTATGTCTAAAAACTAACCTCTTCAATTATTAAAGTAATCTATTTAACACAATCACGAGTTGGTGGTGGTAGGGTGTGTCTGTAACTGATGACTCCTGATCACTGTCCACCGACAGATTACTGCCTACTGAACACTGCCCACCGACTAATGACTGCACACTGAACACTGCCCACCGACAGACGACTGCCTACTGATCACTGTCTACCTACAGATGACTGTCTACTGATCACTGTTCACAGACAGATTAGTGCCTACTGATCACTGTCCACCGTTGAATGACTGTCTACTTATCACTGTCCACCGTTAGATGAATGCCTACTGATCACTGTCCACCGTAGATGACTGCCTACTGATCACTGTCCACCGACTGATGACTGCCTACTGATCACTGTCCACCGACAGATGACTGCCTACTTATCACTGTCCACCGATCGATGACTCCCTACTGATCACTGTCCACCGACAGACGACTGCCTACTTATCACTGTCCACCGACAGATGACTGCCTACTTATCACTGTTCACCGACAGATGACTGCCTACTGATCGCTGTCCACCGACTGATGACTGCCTACTGATCACTGTCCACCGACTTATGACTGCCTACTGATCACTGTCCACCGACAGATGGCTGCCTACTAATTACTGTCCACAGACAGATGACTGCCTACTTATCTATGTAGGCTGAAGTAACTGGAATGGTGTGTCAGGGAAGGTTGCAACACGCAAATGAAATCGGTTGTTTGTTGTATGTATTAGTTTTATTTCATACAGCTGTGCACAGAAGACAACACACAAATGGGATGTCATCGTATCCCAATTGCGAAAATCGATGTTCATGCTGTTGATCATTGGATTGTCTTGTCCAGACACGATTATGTATTCCAATATGCATAGCTTGAATATAGCTGATTGCGGCGTTAAACTACAAACAAACAAACAAAACAACACGCAATTGGGTTTGCTTGCTTGCAGTATAAAGGAACACTGACACCACGTCAAACTTGTCTTAGTGTGAAACCAGTTCCCTACCAAGTGTGAGCCAGGTTCACAGCTCGACGAGCGAGACAGTAAATGCATGAAACAATAGCGTATGTCTTCTTGGTCATCTGATATACAACAAAGATATACCTTTTGATCTTATATTAGATAACGTCATAAAACGGTAGTTAACTATACAAAAATAAGCAGATTTGATTCCTTGGATTAAAAGCAACGCGTGTTCCACTGTTTGTCAGGAAGAAGTTTATAAGAATGCCCAACCTCCTGAATCATTCAACTATGAAAACCTACGGGGAAGAAAACGTTTCTCCAATGAACATAGTTAGGTGCTGTGTGAATCTGAACTGTGACTGGGGGACAGAGGTTAGGGTAGTTCGTGGAATTTGTAAAAAAAGCGAAGGAAACGTTTTGGCTTAAATCTGTGGCATCGGCGTCGTCCATCCTGTCAGTTGAAAGAACAGCTCTCAGGTAAGAGTTGATGTCCGGCTCAGGACTGATCTGTGAAGATGCATGGCGGTATTATCATTCTGCACCAGCAGTATATATCATTGATTTCTGAAGATTTATATTCATACATTTTCATTCATTCCTTTTCAATACCTTGGACAAGCTGGTTATATATTTAACGTGCTCGAGCCCTGAGTATGCTCTGAGTGGGGAAAATCAGCACTCACGAGGGGCATGCATGAGGGGCATGAACGTGTCAAAATGCCAACAGGTAATTCTGCATCACGCGCAGAAGGAACGCCTAACTTGTTTCTTGGTTTTACTGTTTAGCGACCGTTCATGTACAATATACAGTCGCTCTCTGATTGTCGTATTGGGTCTGCTACATATCATTGCAGTTATCTGAAACCACGAAACAAGACGGTTCGCCTTGTTTCTTCTTCTTGCAAGAAAATGTGGGATTGTTAACCTGACCTTTAAACATGGTTACCGAGCATTGTAACGCCTTGTCACTAACTTACCCCGAACATTCATTTGAGTAAACGTTTTGTTCAGATTTTTACATTAACTGGTTAATTGATGCTTGACATAAGTGGTTGATATAAGTGTGCCCAATCGTTAACATTTTGTATCTATAGAAACACGTAACATATTGCCTACCTCCAAAGAGCTAAAGAGTTCGTGGCGTGCACTTTGTAGTGTTTTGCATTCCCGAACACAAATATCAACACAAGAGGAGATAGTTTTCATCTATATATACTGAACCGCAAAAGAAACGAAAGTAAAAATTCAGATTTAGAAAAAACTTTACTTTTAACAGATAATGTATGAACACAGGTACATAATAACAATCAACACTTGTTGCATGGTTATTTGGACATGTCAGTTACTGCATGGAAACATTGTTGGTTTACTTTGCATTGAAGACAAAATCGAAATTGATCCAGCAAGTCAGTAGCGCGTATGTCCACCTCGTGCATTCACTACAGCTGTGCACCGCCTGAACATGGAGTGCATCAGACGGTTGACAAAGCCCTAGGGATTGCCGCACATGTCCGGATGATGGCTGCCTGGAGTTCTGCTGCAGTTGTCAGTCGTCTCTGCAGCTCGTCCCAAAAATGTTCGATCGGGTTTAAATTGGGACTGACAGCAGGCCATGGCAGTAGTCGGATGTTATGCTGCTGGAAAAATGCCTGAGTGACTCTAGCAGTGTGGGGCCTGGCATTATCTTGCTGGAAAATGTGTTGCTGGTGTCGGACGAAAAATGGCACAACCTGGGGTCGGAGGATCTGTTCGATATCACGTTGGGCAGTGACTCCATTTCCCCGACCTGGCCCAACATTCTGGAAGAATACTGGCCCTAATCTCTGATTCAGGCCAATCGCTGCCCATACCATAACGCTCGGACCTCCCCATGCATCATCTTCCATTACACATTCGTCAGCAAAGCGTTCACCTCGTCTTCGCCATATTCCAACTCGGCTGTCAGCATGAGAAATGCAAAACCGACTTTCATCAGAGAACAATACCGGTCTCCACTGTTGATGACGCCAGTTTCGATGCAACGTAGCCCACTGCAGACGATTCTGACGATGTCCCGGTGTGAAGATAGGACTGACTGACTGACTGACTGACTGACTGACTGAGTTTGAGTTTACGCCATTTTAGCAATCTTCCAGCTACATCACGGCGGGGGAACACCAGAAATGGGCTTCACACATTGTACCCATGTGGGGATTCGAACCCGGGTCTTCGTGAAGATAGGACGTCGAGCTGGACGACGACAACGGAGTTGGACTGCTCTGAGTCTGCGCCGAACTGTATCTCCGCTTATTGCTCGGTTGTGACGTGCAATAGATTGTCGGGGAGTCTCGTTGGCAGATAGGAATCGATCCCCGATGTGCGAACGTTGAATTTGTCGATCTTGCCGTGGTGTTGTGACTCTCGAACGTCCAGGACGTTGGCGGTCAGCAGTGGTCTGTGTAGCAGCAAAACGTTCCTGAAGACGGTAGATGGTCGTTATGTGCACATGGAATGCATTGGCAACATCTGCAACACTCTGTCCAGCTTCAAGACGGCCGATGGTTTGTTCCCTCTGTTGTGTCGTTAACCTTGGCATTCTTGGTGGGCGTTTGTGGGGAGTGATTTCAAACTGATTTGAGGGCATTTTTATACCCCTATGTGTCCCTGGCATGATGCGCATCATGATTTTCATGTAAAACTTCTGCAACCCCATCCCACGATGTACAATATCCAAGAGAAATCACCAAACAGAACCTGAACATTAACAAACTGTTTTTTCACAACAAAGGTAACCAATGTGTAGTTACACTATAATATTTAACAGTGTTCTGTCGAATATTTATTCATTTTGAAAAACTTTCGTTTTTTATGCGATTCAGTATAGTTTTAATTTGAACAAATATCATCAACACCAATGGATTAGATCGATCGAACGATCTTTCACGGAAGTACCAACATCAAGAACACCACCCTACGAACATGAGAGTCGGCGGACAATTCTTGTGTGTGTTTATGTTGAAGTCAAACCGTGCTGTCTCTGGTTTTAAAGCTAATCGTACCATCATAATAATTATATTTCATAAGTCCCTACTCCTTGAGATGAGTTAACTGTCGAGCAGAAGGAAACCAACCTACCGCCGCATGCTGACGTCCTCCGTTTGTCTGGTTTGGCGTAGATGCTGCCACCATCCACGCCGTCTTGGCCACAGAACTCTGGCACCGTCTTCGGCTGTTTCTGAACCTCACTGTATACATCACACTCTTGTCCTGAAATGGTACTTTGAGTAATGAATTGCCGAGCAATACATTGGCTTTAAGTGTACAGTGTAATGATATCGAGTAATGTTCTTTTCTTCTAAATTTAGCATAAGCTTCAATGAAGCAAAAGTATCTTTTTAATAATATACGGACATAATTTCCTTGTTTAAGCGTCACCGTGCAGCAGCAGTTAGAAGAAGCCGCTATACAAATCACTAATTATTATTTATTATTACGTTATGAGTTATTGTCTCAATATATACTACAATTTCATTTAATGCATCTAAATGGGCTATCCACAACATCACTTTTGGTCATGCTACACAGAAGTTACAGAAGGTGTATTCTGAACTAAAAAAACTAACAGACCAGATTTCGGGGCATGGACACCGTTTTCATCGTCACAGGAGCTGTACATAGGGTTGTCCTCCATCACTGTAATTTGAATAGGAGACGAATAAAACCATAAATATGGGTAACCTAAAATAGCTCTCCATGGTATTAAGCTGGACGATAACACAACAGTTCGTCAATTGGTGACGTCGCACTTGTACCTGAAAAGAAAGGACGTCTCACATCCATGCCCACTGTGTCAAATGGAACAGGTGCATTTCGCCACGAAAGTAATCATCATTGTACATTGGCGACTCAGCAGTATCATCATGCAGGGATAGATTGACTATTTCCACAGTTGTTCTCTTAGCAACTAAAAACTGTTGCCTCACTATCTGTACTGCAGGTTGAGATATAAATGTTCTTTGATGTTGAGATATAAAGGTTCTCTGAGTGGCATTTAGCAGTTGGTGTTTTGAACAACGATGGATATACAACTTCTTTATAACATAGTTAGTAGCCACACCGAAACGTCACTCATATCTATAATATAGAAGCTGTATATCCACAGAACTCTGCTCGAGATTTAAAAGGTCTGATTTACGTATTTCATTCATTGCATTCCAGAGATTAATCATAATAATAGAAAGTCAACTGTCTGATAACGACCGCTGTCATAGTGTTGTAATATTGCTGAGTGAGACGTTAAAAATTAAGCAAGGAAACCCTGAGGCTGTGTCAGAAGAGCAAAGGTTTGTTAACAAGTCTTTGCTATTTAAAAACTATTATTGCTCTGCTTGTATCACAAAACTGCGGCCCCATTTTGATCGGACGGGATATTGGAGTGATGGAATGTTGGTTTAAATCACGAGGACTCTGGCGTCCCTGTGCGTTGACCTAATAATGAATCAGGGAAAAAAACATATTATCTCACAGTATTATAGATGAGTACGGGAAACTTTAGTACTTATTTAAGATTAAAAATATAAAACTAAACATATTAATATCTCCATTACTTCTGTAATTACCAGTGATCTCGATTCCTCGATCTGGGAACTACTTTCACTATGGTGTGAAGAGACTCAAACAATGGTATCTTTCACTGATCCAATGTACATATACATGGATACGACCAAATCTTGGCGTAAAAAAATGAACCTCGGCTTTAATTGATTCCCCACATGGAGATATATTGCAGGAATATAGCTACACGCTACGTACATCCATACTCACTCACTCACTATCACAGAAGCGCAATCAACTGTTCTAAAGGTGACACACACTGGCAGAAGGCACAATCAAAATGTACCTCTGACTCTCTCGTCATTTACCCATTATATGCTTAAACGATGAAGGAAAGAATCAGAGAATCTGTTTATACACACTATGTACAGACACATGGATATGCCTGTTATATACCTTGTAAACAAATGGAACATCAATAGTCAAGCTCACTATATTTCTCACACACAACAACCTCTGTCACCACTCTGTCACCACTCTAGTTTGTTTAAAGGACACGCCACAGACTTAACTTACCTAGAGGCCCATCTGATTCTTGGTCCCTGTGGAACAAATCAACAGTACAATGCATAACATGGTTAACTAATCACCTGGCACTAGATTTTCGAAGCTCTGTTAGCGCTAAGATAGTCATAAGTTAATGTTAATATATGGCACTTACAACTATCTTAGCACTAAGAGAGCTTCGAAAATGTAGGCCCTGCACAGTAAACATATGGAACATGGGAACCCATTAAAGAAGACTTTTGAAACTATATAAAAAAATACTGGCAATATGTTTGCGTACAATAAGCTAACAGACAAGTCTTAGCTTTAATTAGAGAAACATAACGTAGTACACAATACAAGTTACTACTTACTTTTCAGTCTGTACTGATGTCCGCCCACCTGAATTGTGAAATGGGAAACAATCACTGCCCAAAGTGAGAAATGAAATGTTAAGTTTTAAACGCCTTCTTCAATCTATAATGCATTGTCCTCTAAGACGTATTAAATGTTATAAGCATTTATACCAAATGTACAGAAGCCACACGAGTTTCCATCCTTGAAAATTACAACTCCATCATTGGATGAATATACGACATGTGAACCTACCCAACCTGCCATCATCAGTGTTTCTTGTCCTCCTGTATCTGAGTAGGACACACATCGTAATGACAACAACTAGTAGCATCAGACCGCCACCAGCGACTCCAACTATCAGCTGAGGTGTGCCTGAGTCTGGGATAAATCTTCCAGCACCTGTAGATTACATAAGATATACAATATGTGTTTGGAACATCTTGCTAAGTAAAATATATTCCTAATATCACTTCTTCAATAAATAAAAACATTCGTACGAGTGTGTGTTTGTCTGTGTCTGTCTGTGTGTGTGTGCATGTGCGAGTGTGTGTGTGTGTGTGTATGTGTGTGTATGTGTGTGTCTGTATATGTGTGTGTGTTTGTATGTGTGTGTGTGTGTGTGTGTGTGTGTGTGTCTGTGTGTGTGTGTTTATGATTACAGATACATCCATGTCACACCCGTGTCACACCCGTGTCACAAGCGTGTTACACGCGTTCTGAACGCGTTCAAGGGGAATGCAATTTTAGACAGTAGTGTACGTATGTCGTGTTTCGGTTTATATACAATTGCAGCAATAAACTCACCTAGGCTTTGAACATGAAGCCCAATGTACTGGCTTTGATATCGAACCTGTTGTGCTCGAATGACGACACAGAACCAATCAGCCTCAAAACTGGTATCGACCTCTCTTATCCTCAGCTTGAATTGACCATCTTCACAATCCGTTTGTTCTACAGACAGGCGTGGTAATGTCTGATTCTTCAGTCTACATCTACCATTGAAGTACTGCACATCTGCCGTTTTAACTCGCTGGTTGTTTCTGTACCATTCGACGAAGACATTATTTTCTGCAACAGATCTGCGACACACGAAAGTTATATTCCGACCTGATGTTACCGTTCTATTTGTACCGTTACTGGGTGGAGAAAACTCTGTTATTCTTTGATGCGCGTCGAAGATGATTTCTGAAGGGTAGAAAAAAGATTCCCGTCCAGTACTGCACATGTACCGTTGTCAACAGCCGTTCTAACTTATAATCAAGTCACGATGCCTACACCGAGCTCACTGACTGTAACATCAAGACAGCGTGGTAAGATCCGGATGGCATACGTCTGAATATAGTATTATTTAAACTTGGTTTATTGCTTGTCATCGCAGCTCCACCTAACAGACAGTTGCTTACTATTGACCACCTGATTGTCTGGTCAAGACTCGATTATATACATTATTATATCGCCTTCATAGAGCTGGAATATTGCTGGGGGCTGAGAAACAAATAACATAACTTGGACAGGTGTGATTATTCAGGTATAATGGTGCAAAATAGGGTGTCATCTGGGATTAGTTTACCACCACCCCCACCCCCCATCTCTCTCTCTCTGTGCTATGTTCTTTTCTCTCTATCAGCAACCCCTTCAGCACCAATAGAAGAACTGAAATGATTAAATTCCATGCCAATGCTGAATACAAGATAACGGTCACTGTAATCATTCCCTTCCTTCTAAACCGCCTCCGTGGTGTAGTGGTTAGAGCGTCCGCCCGTAGAGCGGAAGGTCGCGGGTTCGATCCCCCGCCGCATCATACCAAAGGACGTTAAAATGTGGTACTTGTTGGTCCCTGCCTGACGCTTGGCATTAATAAGTTAATGAGGACTGATCGGCTCGGAGTAAAATGTGTCTGAGTGGCGTATTCATGCTTAACTGCGGCATAGTATCCCAGTGGGCTAGCACTATACAACCAGCTTAAATCCGGGCTAGTACAAGCAGCCATACATACACACATGAGCGAAATATTCTCAAGAACGACGTTAAAGCCATTTTCACCTCAACTCAACCCTTCTTAATACAACCAGTAAATATCGCTATAACGTTGAACGGTAACGCATATGCTCTAAACATTTAGAAACTACATATCTCTTATAAGTGAAACGAATGAAGTTTGATACCGACCCTGCTGTGCTCCTGTCAAGCCATATGTGTACAGCGACATAACCAGCCCATACCACAGAGCTCGGTGGTTGTCAAGTCCCATGGTGTGGGGATACGTGTGTATATGTGACTGTAATACAGTGCATCTTCATCATCGAATGAGTTCCCGTCACCACCATCCTTCCCTTAAGGACCATTCTGGGCGACCACGTGTGACTTCTTGTGGACATTACATCACCCTTCCGGTGTAAGTGTCAGTCTGTTGTGACACATTCACTATGGGGATATTACGGAAATATGTTGTAAATGACCTGAATATTAGAACAGCAAGTGAGAACTTGGGGTTGATTGGGGGCAGTAAGGGACCGTTCATAATTTATGACTAGAGGGGTGATGATGATTTTTATGGAGAAGCATGTACAATGTGAATGACCCCCCTAAAATGTATGTACAAAGTAAGAGACCCCCACCCCCAGCCCCCTGCATGTCCTGTACAAAATCGATGACCCCTTGTTTTAATGTAAAATATATGCACGACGTAAAACCCAATTTCACCTCAGTATTTACTAACCCCAAAAAACCCACCCCCCACCCTCCACCCCACACACGAACACCTTCCCTTCCAAGAACAAAATGGATGACCCCATTAAAATCATCCATAAATAATGAACGGTCCCTACTGATCACTACAGCTGTACGAGGACCATCTTCAGAAAATGTAATCTGGGCGTATGGTTGTAAGCACTGACTGCGAGCCAGGCCGTCAAGGTCTGATCAGCTAGTCTAAGATTGTGTACACCTAAAGTTCATTCACCTTTGCAATATCGCGTTTTTCTTGTACACAGACTGTACCTTGATGTATCAAAAGGTTTATGTATGGTATATATAAGAATGTATGTGTTAAGTTGTTTCGCATGTTCGTCGTTGAGCAATAGAACTGAATCATATCCGCTCTGAATTCCGAAACCCATTCTTGCATTTTAGACTATTATTCTGGATAATCGACTGCCGCATCTGACCATCCGACGGGTCTAGTTTGGTTACAAGAAGAGCAATAATAGTCAGCAATAACGAAATTATATTAAAATGTTTTATTGATCTCAAATGCAAAAGCAATGCATAACAAAAGGCATGGCTGACAATTAGGAACGTGAAAATAAGCAAAGGTAATCCTCTCGGATTTATACAAAATAGTGAAAACTTCATGATGGAATAACACGATAACGACAAATCAATTTTTTTTTTTTTTTTAAATACCACAAAACGCATCGCTGACAATAAGAAACGTTAATCCTCTCGGATTTATACAAAATAGTGAAAACTTCATGATGGAATAACACGATAACGACAAATCAATTTTTTTTTTTTGTTTAAATACCACAAAACGCATTGTTGACATTTAGGAAGGTTAAAATAAGCAAAAGTAATCCCGTCGGATGTAAACAAAATAGTGAAAACTTTATGATGGAAGACCATGATAACGACAAAAAAAATTAATTTAAAAAATACAACAAAACGCATTGTTGACAACTAGGAACGTGTAAATAAGCAAAGGGTAATCCTCTCGGATTCATACAAAATGGTGAAAGGCTCTGAAAACGATATGGTGGCATACTAAGATAACGACAAAACGAAAGTTACAGCTCCATATCTAATTACAATGTTTTAATGTAATCAGGACTAACTTGTATCAACACACACACAGTGACAAAGATATACACATACAAAATAATATTAAACACTTATAATGCACAAGCATCCACGCATGCTCAAGGCGCAATGATAAAATCAGAGAATAACATACAAAAGCGTGTTCTTATTGCTCGCTACCTCTCGGGTTATCTTTAGGTTTTACTTCTAAACTATTGTCGTCTACCCAACTCCATTTTGTAAAACCCGTGAAGATCCGTGTTAGAACTGGTCAGCAACCCACGCCTGTCGTAAGAGGCGACTAATGGGATCAGGTTAGTTAAGCACGCGGACTTGGTTGACAAATGTCATCGAATTCCAATTGCGTAGATCGATGCTCATGCTATTGATCACTGGATTGTCTGGTCGATCATATACAGACCGCCACCATACAACTGGAACATTGCTGAGTGCGACGTTCGACAAGATCCAAACCAAACCAAACCATACAATGAAAGGAGGTGTTACCAGAGTGTACCAAAGGGAAAACATTGCGCCATCAGTTGTTGTCAGTTTCTTAAGGCGTGTGATTGGAAGTTTGTAGTTCAAAACAAATACTCTCTTACTAATCCACACATGGGCAATGTTCACCTCCAGCTAGCAGCACAAGGTACACAGAATGCCATAGCATGAGTTCTGGGTGTTGTTGTACAAAGCCATCTTAGCGCTAAGGTGACCATACCTCAACATAGACTTAAGGTAGTGTTAGCGCTAAGGTAACCATACCTTAACATAGACTTAAGGTAGTGTTAGCGCTAAGGTGACCATACCTCAACATAGACTTAAGGTAGTGTTAGCGCTAAGGTTGTTTTATACAACAGCACCCTGATCTGTCCACCATTAAACACGTTTGTGACATGATAATGAGACTCATGATCCAACACACAAAGGGATTCACATACTCAGTACACCTTGTCGAGTGAAGGAATGCTGGAATAACTGCTGTGAAAATAAGGTAAACTTTGACATTTCCCCTCTTACCCCTATGGCCCTGCTTACTACCGGTTGTACCGTGTTCGCACTGTGTTACTTTGTTATACGGCTATAGCTAGACACTAAATGTTTTGGACGTATATTTCGGGAGCATAATCTACTTGTGTAACAGTATAGTAACAAAAGGTTCAAATCAACAGATTAACATGCACGAGGCATAAAAAGGACATGATATTCACGATTAATTTAAACATAACGAAAACAGGTCCCCAGGATCAAATCAGCAATAACAGGGAGTCTGGTACAGACGCATTTAGTGACACAGAGATGGACTACGATTTGAATAATGCTGACTGTAGTATTAAACAACAAACAAATTATCCTGAAAACACAAAAGAATATACTAAGGCATAAAATATAAGAACAAACCCCCCAAAAACGAAGGTAATTTGTGAAATGAAAAAGCAACTATGTATGTTATAGGGGACATAGACCGATAATTACAAAGATCTGCATCATTGAGTGGATGTTGTATTAATTAAAGCCAGTCCAAAATGTTCCGCATCAGACTTTAATCTTCCGTTCGTACCATCGCTAACACTTATTTAAAAGAAAACAACAGATGTACTCAACATCCAGGACCTGGTTGATGTAACGGATGTTTTTTAAAGTATCAGCACCGGAAAAACTACTTTAACGTGAGCTTCTCAATCCACTTGAATCACTTTTTCGGCTTCTGCACTTGACTGTACACATCCTCCACATCTGCAACAAAACATGAGTCTCATCAGAGCTGTAATACCAGTACTTCAACAACTCATACAGCTCATACTCTACATACACCACATATTCTACATACACCACATACTCTACATACACCACATACTCTATATATACACCATATGCTCTACATACACCACATACTCTATATATACACCATATGCTCTACATACACCACATACTCTACATACACCACATACACTACACACCACTACACCACATACTCTACATACACCACATACTCTACATATACACCACATACTCTGTACATACACCACATACTCTACATACACCACATACTCTATATATACACCACATACTCTACATACACCACATACTCTACATATACACCACATACTCTACATACACCACATACTCTATATATACACCATATGCTCTACATACACCACATACTCTATATATACACCACATACTCTACATACACCACATATTCCACATACACCACATATACCTACATACACCACACATACATACTCACATATACATATACACCACACATACACACACACATACTATACATACACCACATACATACTCATATATACACCACACATACTCTATATATACACCACATATACTCTACATACACCACATACACCACATACACATATACACCACATACTCTATATATACACCACATACTCTACATACACCACATACTCTACATACACACCATACTCTACATACACCACATATTCATATACACCACATATTCTACATACACCACATATACTCTACATACACCACATACTCTATACACCACATACATATATACACCACACATACACCACATACTCTACATACACCACACATATTCTACATACACCACACATACACCACATACATATATACACCACATACTCTACATACACCACATACTCTACATACACCACATACTCTATATACACCACATACTCTCTACATACACCACATACCTACATACTCTACATACACCACATACTACTACATACACACACCACATATTCTACATACACCACATACTCTACATACACCACATACTCTATATATACACCATATGCTCTACATACACCACAAACTCTATATATACACCACATACTCTACATACACCACATACTCTACACATATACACCACATACTCTATACATATACCACATACACTACATACACCATACACCACATACTCTACATACACACATACTCTACATACACCACATACTACATACACCACATACTCTATACATACTCATATACATACACCACATACTCTACATACACCACATACTCTATATACACACACATACTCTATACTCTATATACACCACATACTCTATATATACACCACATACTCTACATACACACCACATACTCTATATACATATACACCACATACATACTCTACATACACCACATACTCTACATACACCACATACTCTACATATACACCACATACTCTACTCTACACCACATACTATACATATACACCACATACTCTACATACACCACATACACCACATACTCTATATACATACACCACATACTCTATATATACACCACATGCTCTACATACACCACACGTACCCTCGGCTGCTGACTTCTTGGATTTGTCAGGTACGGCATACGTATCTCCACTGTCCAGGCCAGGCTGATTCAGGTTTCTGTCATCGAGGTTAGGTTGATTCTTCACCTCGCTGGCTTCTCCCTTCCCTGTAGTCAGATATATTATTCTTTCATTCAGAATCTGATATGACACAATATGCTTACCAACATCATCAGCAAATGATACAAACACTTTGAACTTATGTCTATATGTACCCAGGGTGATGCTTCTTCTTACCCGGAATCTCAACATAGAAACTATCTGACACAATGTGAACTAGATGTAATGCTTCTTTGATTTGCAATGTGAACTAGGTTTGGCAATGTGAACTAGGTTTAACACTGTGTAGCAACCCATAGTGGATGTACATCAGCACTTTCGTAATAAATGTGAAAACGTCTCCCATACTGAGGCTGACACAGATGTCTAGTGTTGACTTAGATGTTCCTATTCATGTGGACATAAACTACAGAGAGATGGAGCTGTGTGTCAAGATGCCGTGCACAGTACTTTAGTCAAACCATTTTTGGAGGAATGCCAGGATGATGCAGACGAAATAAACCCATGAGCACAGACTTAGTGCTCGCAAAACAAGACACATAAGAAATAGAAACAAATAGCATTGAAGACACGGTGACGGAGGAAACGTACCCTCTGCTGCAGACTTCTTGGATTTGTCAGGTACAGCATAGATATCTCCAATGTCCGGACCAGCTTGACAGTCATCGGGGTTAGGCTGAGTCTTCACCATACTGGTTTCTCCCTTCTCTGTATTCAGATGCAATAACAACATCATCAGCAACTGATACAGGGACTATGAACTTACATAATGAATCAAACAATGTGAACCCAGTAATACATGTAGTTACACAGAAGCTCCCTAAAACCGGCTCACATAAGGTGAACATTTATTAATCAGTTGTTTGATTGCCCGAGTGTGGATTTGGGCATCTTCAATTTGCCTCAAGTCCTTTGTCATGTCCGCGTGTCCTCTCACATTCATGAGTGAGTTTAGTTTTACGCCGCACTCAGCAATATTCCAGCTATATGGCGGCGATCTGTAAATAATCGAGTCTGGACCAGACAATCCAGTTACCAACAGCATGAGCATCGATCTGCGCAATTGGGAACCTATGACATGTGTCAACCAAGTCAGCAAACTGACCACCCGATCCGTTAGTCGCCGCTTACGACAAGCATGTGTTACTGAAGATCAATATTCTAACCCGAACTTTCATGGGTTTCATTCATGAAACATGTTGGCATACTTTTTATTGATACGCTCACGTTGTCAGATGTAAAGAAAACACACCAACCGTGAGATGGAGATGCAGATTCTCGACAGTCTATCTGTGCGTAGTCATCATTTCCCGGGCCACTGCTGCTGTACAAGGGATTTTCTTCCATCACTGTAACAATAGCTGATTGTAAGACTTGATGTTGTGGAGGAATGGGGAGAAACATGAAACTCGTGTTTACATTCAGCTGTACATCACAGTCCGGAAATAGCTGAAAAACTGCTGACGCGGCTTAAAGCAATTATACTTACCCATTGTTCCACTACATAAAGAAAGAAATATATATGATGATTTATAGATACGTTTATGCATATTAAAGAAAACGTCCTGACCTTCCAAATATCCTGGCCATTCGATCATGGATTTGATGAAACGGAGAACATATGTTTCATTTTCTGAATTACTGCAATTACATGGTGTACAATGTCTACTAAATGCATTTGAATGGCTTCCTTTCTGAAATATGCTATGTTATAGATAACAATAACAGTTAACAATTTCAATCCTCACTTGCCAATGTCTTAATACATGGACATAGACTGCCGTGGAGTAAACGTTGTAACGTGTGACTGTATGCGTTGTCAAGTGATGCTGTTTGTCTTTCCCCTATGGCTTAATCCTAGTTCTACTTTTGATTTGATATGCTGGGGCTGCTAATGGAACGTGACGTCCTTGCATGTATGTCGTACTTACCAACTGCCTCAGCATTTCCTGGTTGTCTGGAAATATAGAAACATGATGGACACCGTATCATGCTACAAAACTATGGATATAAACAGACAAGAGTTAACATAATGATAAAGATAATGAATTTATATAGCGCCACTTTCCAAAAAGTATTTGCTCAACGGCGCTGAAGAAGAAAGTATCACATGCATGATATATGGATCTCTACAGTCTATACAGGGTATATGGAACAGGGGAAGTTTGTAGCAGTGATATCGAAATACACACACAGGCACACGCACACGCACACGCATACACAAACTCATACAAATATGCATTTTTACATCTACCAGTATAGGAGCATACAAAGCTTCACCTTCGTTAAAATAGAATGAGAACAGTACACAGATTGAAGTATATCTACCCTTTTAGCCATTGGAACATTCGTATATACATTCACTTTACTTACCTGTTGGGATATGTAGACGCTTGTCCATCTGTAAGAAATAGACGAGAGGACTGAGTTACCATATGTAAATGCAATCGCCAGTTCATTGATCTTACATTGTTATACTGCATCGTATGCAATATATGTGTTTATAATATTATGCTCGAACATGACAGGCGATTTGTGAAAGATCCAATCATGATCCGATGTCCATAGAGTTTTGTACATTTTTAAACAGTTATTTATTAAATTTTCCTTTTCACATAAGTGTAATACCTATGATAAGCATGCATAGAAACAGAGTCATCACTACATTTACCATCTGGATGGTTCGACCCCCTCTTCGATCTGTAAAGAGCACATCCAGTGATGACGAGAATCAATAAGACGATCCCGCCGCCAGCAGCTCCACCAATCAGAGGAACCAGGGTGTTTCTGGATGGCGACTCGTTATCTGTTCTCTCTGTTGTGTATTCTGTTGCGGCTTCTGTTGGTTTGGTTGACGATGCCTCATGTCTGCTAACTGTCGTCTGCAGAATACTGGTGGTAGGTGCTCGAGGTTTCCGAGAAGTACTTATCTCTTCAAACATATATACTTCACATGTTCAGACATCACGACACAAGATATTTAAGGCTATAACACAGTGCGTAGTGTGCTGTTACTCTCTCGGCCATACTTCTAAATGTACTAAACAGGGGAGGGATGACAAAATATGGATGAACAACCTCTTCATTAACGTGATAGGGACGTTTCGGTGTAGGTTCTAACACCGTTGCCAAGCAAGTGATGAACAGCATGAGGATAGAAAGGTTAAAGAAGTTATACTAAACAGGTAATGCAAACATTCCGACAGAAATCTCATTTATTTAGTCAGGATATTGTAACAAGAATGTGTACTTACCATCATGAATGTCCACTTCGAGGTCAACATATCTACTTTGCCACTTCTGATTAACCACACAATACCATCCACCGCCGTACTGTTGGTCAATATCTCGTATCCTTAATTCATATGATTCATCTCCACATGATGTGTTTCCAACATGTAACTTCACCAGTGACGTTTCTGTAACGTTTCCTCTGCACACACCATTGTAATATTGGACAAAGGCAACGTATCCTGTACTGTTTACTCTGTACCAATATACGATGGGATCTGTCACCCAGTCGACTGAGCAAACAAATGTAATGTTGCGACCCTCTTTGACGTGTTTTGTAGAATTACGGCGTGGGAGAGAAGGATATTTATTGATATCCCTTCTTGGGACAAGCTTGAAGACTGAAAGGTATAACACACAATAATTTAGTTTCAAGTATTAGTGGCACAAGTTAAATGTAACTAACTTACCTCACTCAAATCGTAATGAATATACAGTTGTATGTATAGTCGAATCTTAGCACAAGCACGGGTTGATAAAGACCAGTGACTTGTCAGATACCTCAAAGGGTTCGGCTCCACATTAAACATGCATGCTGATTTTCATATAAACTATGCCATCGGTTGGAGCTACCATTCGATCGTGACATTGTTATAAGTTTACTGATTTCCGGTGTTTACCTAATTGGTAGTACAATATTGAAGACAACTTTAATTGAGATAACTTCATCAACTATATAACTTCTAACATTGACCTTCTATTCTGGACGATGACATATACACAATTTCGGTGAACAAAAAGAATGCTCTTTAAACACCAATGACAACCAAATTGTTGATGAGTAGTGAGCCCCCATGTAATATCTTTAAATAATATACGTCATTAGTAGCAATAATGAGACAGTTCTTAATATGAACACAACTGTGAAACAAGAGTACCGAAGAACAAAACAATACTCATGAAAATTGTATACACTTGCAAACCTTATCAAACTGTTACTAGGCTATGAAACACTGCAAATGTAACTAAAGGACCAAACGACGAGTATGTTAACCATATCACTTACATCACCATCGATTGTCTCTGTACAACTACAAATAAACATGGGGTTATGCTTTCCCACCCCTAATTTACCTAAATAAGATGGAATGGAATTAAATATATTGGACACCTTGAAAATATGAAAACATCAAGCCAGTCTCTTTGTGACAATAAATGTTAAAATTGAATTTATTGCACACACTGAAAGTAATAATAAATCAAGATAGTCTCTTTCTGACAATAAATGTTAGAAATAACAAAAAAAATCTGCTCTGTACTTGTGTCCAGTTTTTCGTACTTAAGTAAAAATATGCTCAGACGTAAATTGTTTTCAAAAGTATGCAACATAATAATCGTTCTTCCCTATGGCTCCATTATTAGTCCTGCAATATCACTATTTCCATGGCGTTAACGTCTTCATGAAAGTCTTGCAGTGTTCGTTTTCACCTTTCGTTTTGGCATTAAGATAATGTCGGTCAAACCAGAGACACACAAAGGTGGATTGTGGTCACACGCTTGGCCGTAAGATAATATGTGGCATCAGCGTCATCATTATCTGAAGAAGCATGTTTATGTATCCAGTTGGTTAAGTGCGGTACTCTCACATGCAATCTTTGAATATAACTGCTAAGATTTTTGACGATTACTTATTTTCAAGCGTAATGCGACATAAGAACAAAACAAAAATGCAAGAACAAACGTTGGACCTATCTGATAGATTTTGCTGATATTCATACAAAATAGAAGTACCAAATGTAAATTCATCATGTCTGGATGCATCGGGCAGAATATATTCCGGGGGAAATATAAGAAATACGAAAGATTAGCGAAGACGCACAAACGCCACTCCCTTTACTATGGAACCGTTTTCAGAAACAGGGGTCACACGTGACCTACCCACATAGTCGACCACGTGTTACAACACCAGCACAGGAAAGGTTTATGTGAGTTTGTCACTTACATGATAGACTCACGTCAGGTACCTACAGCTACAGCAATAACAGGACTACAATGGCAGGAATGCAGTTGAACGACACAACATTACACTGATGCATTTCTTCAGCCACATGTCCTTCATATTATGCAATATTAGTTTCCCAACACTACAACGTCACACGCCTTGACCGACAACGAAGGAACCACATCCAGGTACTGTCCTGATCCTCAAGGTCCCCAGACCTAAGATTTATGCGATGCTCTTGGTCAACGTCTGCGATAGAAGAGTGGGTGAAGACTGGAAGCGAAGACGCCAGGCAGTTCTGGACTTTCATGGCTGCCATAGAAGATGGCAAGAACAGATGACGAAAAATGAAACGTTTAACAAACACGTAACCATATACTCACGTCTATAGTGAATCGCTAAATCGTACCCTACATGGACTGTACGAGCATCATGAACTTGTTTATCACCCTGAGCTGAAGCCTATGACTGTAGCCACATCAATGGTACTCCACATGCATTGCTTTAAGCCACTATAGATGACAAGAGAATGAGAAGACTAACAGAAGCTCAACGACACAAGGCCGTCGGCCGTTTACAAGGGCGGACATCCCAGCATGGTGTGGCAGAGGCACTTCAGCGTGTCCAGACTGACCATCTCAAACCTATGCACTCGATACAAACATACTAGGAGTATTAATGACAGACCAAGGTCAGGTCGACCTGGAGTTACCACGACCGGCCAGGATCGCTTCATCCGGCTGAGACATTTCCGTTCAAACACCACGGCCACAACAATCCAAATCCCTGGACTGCTCCGAATCTCGGACCAGACAGTGCGCTATAGGGGATGGAACGCCAGACTTTTTGCCAGAAGACCAGTTCAAGGTCACGTCGTTCCCTACATCAACGTGATATTTGGAGCATGATAATGCTCGACCTCACGTTGCACGTGTTTGACAGTTCTTCCTCCAAAACAACAATGTTCAGTTTTAACCTTGGCCTTCTCGATCACCGGATATGTCTCACATTGAACGTCTATGGGAAACTCTTCAACGACGCTTGCGCCAGCGTAATCCGCAACCTCAAACACTACAAAAACTGCACACAGCACTTCAGCAAGTGTATCAAAACATTCCTCAAGACAGCATTCGGCATCTCCTTTCTTCTATGGGTCACCGCTGCCAAGCTGTTATTGATGCTCATGTTCATTTTACTCCGACCAAGTGGCTTTAATAGCCCTCTGTCTTTTTACCAAACACTTTCTTGATAATCATGAAATGTGATGATTTTACTATAACTGAGTATTGATGTCATGTTTGAATCAGTTATATGCACTCAGTAAGGAAACTCCAAAACAGCATGTCAAGTTTCTTTTTTTGAAGAGTACATATTTAGCAGAGTATATTTTGGATACAATGATATGCTTACTCAGATTGCCGTCTGAATAATTTTGAACATAAAAATGTCCACAATGAGTAGACCGAAGATTCCTGTAAGGATGTATCCCAGTAGAAATTGACATGTCTATATTGAAACCCGAACATATAGTATTGCAGTCAATCTGCTATGCACATTGGATTATCGTACAGGGGAAAGTTATCTTCTGGAAGCTGAAATTATTTCTGGAAGCTGCTTCCAGTATAATATCATTAATTAAGTTGTCGAGCTGGTAGACTAAGTATGTGTTGTCATAGCAACAGTCAGGGTGGAAGATTCTGTGTAAACCACAGATTGTGCTCCCCTGTTCATGAACTGCACTGTGAGCACAAAGTCATTCTTTGATTCCCTTTTATGTTGTATAGTTTATTAAAACATGTAATAAACTCATGTCCAAAAGAAACGATACCAAATATTTTTTTCAATATTTTTAAATTAATGATACTTTTTGGAGAAAAAACACATTTCTGTGTATCCCACGTTCCTATCCAAACGTATTCGATCGAAAAAACCGCTAACATTTATTCACTTAAGAAGCAATCGCACGAATACTCAAAATGACGTTAAGTCGTGTGGCACGAAATGCACGTGCAGATGAACTGTATAAAACCGCTGGTCCGACACGTTGTGCCCACAGCAGTAAAAAGCACACAAAAGAAATGGCACGTTTGACAGCGATCGAGAGAGAAAAAGCCGTTGGAATGGTCCGACAGGGAGCATCACACGCCGCTATAGCAAGAACGTTTGGATGCGCGCGCATAACCGTTACCAGGTTAATGCGACGGTTGCTTCAAACAGGCCGAACAACAGGCAGGCCGAGAAGCGGGAGACCCCGGGTGACCACGCCTATTCAAGACAACCACATCCGGTTACTTCACCTACGTAACCGCTTCGTTCCCGCGACGTTAACGGCGGCGACGGGACTGGGACACCGGATCAGGACATCTACAGGAGACTGCAGGCACATGGTATCCGTGCACGTCGCCCCTACCGCGGAGTCTACCTGACACGTCAAAACAGAGTCAACCGATTGATATGGGCCAGGCGTGTTCGGCGGTGGCAACGTCGAAACTGGGCACGTGTCTTGTTTTCGGACGAAAGCCGGTTTTGCCTTTACAAGAACGATGGTCGGCAGCGAGTATACCGAAGAGTTCGTGAACGTTTGGCACCGAACTGCATCCAGCAAGTCCATGCATTTGGAGGCGAAGGTGTAATGGTGTGGGGAGGTATCTGCGGTGATGTGAAAACGAGGCTCGTCATTATTCGGGGGAACCTGGATGCACAGCGTTACCAGGATAAGGTTTTACGACCATTCGTGCAGCCATTCGCCCAACAGCATCCAGGAGTAATCGTGTTCCGTCACGATAACGCTAGGCCTCATACGGCAAGATTGACCCAGAACTTCCTTGCCAACGCCAACATACAGGTTTTGCCATGGCCAGCGTGTTCACCGGATTTGAATCCCATTGAGCACATATGGGATCACCTCAATAGGAAAATCAGAAAACGCCCTGCGCCCCCAGCCAACCTCCAACAATTGGAACATTGTCTCCAGGATGAGTGGCAGCGAATCACCCCTAACGTCATCCGACGTTTGACGTCATCAGCTCGGAGGCGTGTCATGACATGTATCGCAGCTGCTGGTGGACATACCCGGTACTAAAGGGGCGTTCAGACTGTGTTCAGAGACTACCCTCACTAGCCTCCTCCACTGTGCTAACATGAAATTTCAATTTGGGGCACCACACTTCGTTTAAAGCCCTGTGTTAATGATTGTAAATCTTAGATTGCCATGACTTTTTGTACACATGCAGTAAAATCATTTATCTAATGAAAGATATCAATTTGAAATGTCTATGTTGTTTTGTTTTAGTTTAGTGATCTTTGAAACACGTGGTATCGTTTCTTTTGGACACTAGTTTATCAACTATACTTGCTGAAAGTTGCCAACTTCGAGGAAATATGATCATTGCATTTATG